GAGTTTGATGTTTTTCCAGCTTTGTTAGCCAAGCAACATAGTCCTGGGTCAGATTAGGGCAAGACCTAAAAACTCTAACACTTTTGTTGAAGAAACGAAGGTCGATCTTCTCGTGTGTGGGGTCTTCGTTGTCTTCTGGATCCTTCTTAGCACAGGCTACTGGCTTGAGTTTCTCGACGATGGGAAAGTAGCTCTTGATCTTCAGAGCTTCAGAGATGCTGGGGTTCATGGGTCCAGACATTGCGAAGATTTGGTTGGAGTATCCAACCGGAATCATCAAGTGACGCGAGTAAGCATCACGAACGGAGATGTCAGATGGTTCAGGGACCCTTCGTTTCCCTGTAGCGTTCACTACCGGAGCAGTTACAAAGACCTTGGGTTTAGCAAGTTGTTCAGTTGGTGCGTTAGTCTTGGGGGCAGTTGAAGCAGAAGCCATTGTTGAGGATGAAGATGAAGTTGGAAAAGGAAGAGTTTTTCTGCAAAGAAAACAAGTTTGCAAGAAAGCAAGGGAGTTTGAGAGATGGTTTGCGTGAAAAGTCCCACAATGGGATATTCACTACTATTTATAGTAGTGGGAGAAATTCCCAATAACGAGGGCATTAAATGTCATTTAATGCTACAGGAAGTAGTGGGACGCGTGGCAGCATCCTGTTGTTTTGGCCGTTTCTGCAGAAACAGAGAGACGCAACGTGCGTCCTCGTTTTTTGAATTTGTCATAATGACAAATTATGAAGTGATGTTTTGGTTCTGCACGCCGTACTGACAGTGACGTCCTAGGATCAAATCAATGATAGTTTCTTGGGATTGCCAATAGTTGGTAAAAAGCAACAAAAAGTGCACAGGTTAACTTGTGACTAAGCGTGGAAAAACAAGTGTCGAATGGCGTTTTCAAAGAATGCCTTTTTCTTTCAGAGTCGAAATAAGGCATTCTTGGGGGGCAATTTGTTGGCTCCTAAATTCGACACCTTTGTTTTGATTGATGGCAGCCATGAAAAGCTGAAAGATGCTTTCGACTGGCTAAGCCTGTCGAAGTGCCTGTCGAAAGATGGCAAAATACTTAGAAGATTTCTTCCAAGGAAGAAGGCTGATTGCCTTCGACGTCGAAGGAGTTTTCGTCGAAGACGTCTCTTGACGAACATGTTCGATGGTCCAGAGTGGAGCAGTTTGAAATTCAAAGCTTTGGAGGGAAAACGGTTTCCAGCAGTTACTACGTGCGAACGTGCAAGGATCTGGAGCGTCGAGCATGGAGAACGTGACAAGTGGCTTGATCTCGAAGCAGTGTAACTGCCCGACGGTTACTTGGAATGTTTTTGTATAAATAGGAGTAGACGTGTAGTTTCTCGCGTGTGTTCACAATAGATACATAGTCACTCATTTAGATTCAAGTACCCAGTGTGAGCGAACGAATTGTTGAGAAATGTATGTGTGAAACACCAATTTAATCAATTCAAGTCATTTACTTTTCCAGTATTTTACATGCTTTTCCTTTAAGATTCCTGTCGAACCTCTACATTCAAACCTTGTTTATTTTACCAAGCCTTTCCTTTATGCAATTTACCTTAAACAATTTACTTAAAGCCTTATCCACATTAATTAAACTTCAAAATCAACCTATGTCCATAGGATCAATCTGATCGATCCTGCGAGTAACCAAATAAGTAACCATTTGGAGGATCAGCGGTTGTTTACCAAATCCCCAGGTAAACACCTGTACCAAGATAAATATTGATCCATGTGTCGCATATTACCATGATTAAGGAAAACCGGGAATTGCAAGACATAGCGGTGACGCCTCTGCCACATCTTACACCATTCCGGAGCAAAGTATTTCCAGTTGGTAAGACCCCACTGGGCGTCGACCCTTTTAAGATGCCATGGGGACAAACAAGTTGGATCACTTGGTATCTCTTGATGCATTTCGAACTGCATCTTCACATGGTCGTTGTGGTGCATCTCCACAATGTTGAACCGAATGATTGCAGTCTTCGCGGTCCAAATTGCTGCATCCTCCGGGTTTGGATCATGGCCCAAACCCAAATATGGTCTCCGGACGAACTGCGATAAAATTTAAATCAGGTTAACAAAATTGTAATGTATAAATAATTTAAATGAAGAAAAGTTTAAAGCTACGACGTACATCATCCGGGCCTAAGTGATCCAACAGATTGCGGTATAGTGCGACATTGAATCTTGGATTCTTGCCGTAATCCATACCCCTCACGCAGTACCTAAAGGAAATGAAAAACATTTTATTCTTAGCATATATTTGGTGAAGAGATGAATAGTAATAAATGATATAACTTGATGACTTACTTTGTTGCGTACGGGAAACCAAAAGTGTTGTTGTTGATGGGGTTTAAGGACTCCATCCTCCACCAACCCCAGGCTTGTAGTAAAAAAGCGCACCCATAAAATGTACATTTTTCCTTGACTACATTTTTGCACAAGGAACTGTATAGGTGGGCTAAAACTGCAGAACCCCAACTATATGCATGGTTTGCGCTAACACCCCTATCATATTATGGTTACTGTCATCCATTAATTGCCTAAAAGCCAACTGGTTATCTGTGGTTAGGATAGGCAATATGCTATAACCCACCGACCCTTGGTTATTTGTCATAAACTGATTCGCCCCAGACCCAGACCCTAGTTGTGGAGATGAATTCGATGTGGAATTGTGTAAACCTGCCATAAAAGACGTTGGCATTCCATAAGAGGAATTTCTGATTCTATTCCCATCGAAACCGGGTGGTCTAGTTAATGGGGTGGCGAAATGGGATTGTGTCCCTGATGGTGGAACGAATCCCCCGGGGTAGCCCATAGTTCCGGTATTTCCTAAGATCGAACTATTAGTTGATATGCCACTTACTCCATTGGTGGCTATGTTACTGGTCGAAGATGCAACAGACTGTGCATTCGAAGGGATTACATTAGCTGTTCCGATCGAAGTGGACGCGTTAGTGCCTGTTGCATGTGGGCCACTTTGGTCCCCTTGTTGATTGTCTGAATTAGACATTTTGTCCAAACGTTTTCTTCTGGATAAAGGTTGGTTGCTGTTGGTTATCTTACCACTTCTCAGGTTCATAAAACAGCAAACTTCTTAGGTTCCAACGTTTTGTAATGGTTATGTCTCAACAATCCTTAATTCTGATATCCAATTATTGGTCCCACCGGGCGTGCCAATTTGTTTCCAGTGATTTCTGGTAAACAACCGCTAGTCTTCCAAACTATCGAATAATCTTTCTTACTGTTATTCAATCCCTCTGGTAACTCACAGGATCGACTAGATTGATCCTAGGACTCCTTGGATATTAAGGTTACTCTCACAATCAAACAGATATTCATGGTTGATATTGTATAAGCGTTTGGCTTGTTTCGATCTCTCTCTCTCTAAGAGTCTAAAGATGTAATCAAAATGTGTGTGAAAACTAAGTTATACGAATAAATGCTAATTGTAATGCTAATTGTAAAGACATATAAAACTGCATGAAAATGAAGTAAATGGTTTCGACTTACAAAACGGTTAACATAAAGGGTTTCTGGAACGTAAAAGTTTGAAATGTGAAGAAAGCGTTTAATGCAAGAAATCTGTAAATGATTTTAAGTAAAAGTATGCGTTCGAAGGACAAGACTTGAAGGTAAAGATATGGAAAATGTGACAGTTTTCTGAAATATAAAGTGCTCGAAATATAAAGAAAACAATAAAACGTAAAACTTTGAGGAAGAGACTTCGAAGTGAAAAGACTGTAAATAAGAAAACTTGTAAATATTGTTTGACAAAAGGAATAAAGGAAAGTACTGGAAATGGTAAAAGGTTTTCATTAAATCAGAAATACATGGTGCTATCATACATATATTTCTCTTGCATTCGTTTCCCTTGCCATGTGGTAGTTTGAATGTTATTGAGTATTTTGTATAATAGATATGACACACGAAATCCTAATACTAAGACTTCTATTTATACTAATTCGACCATAACGGTCTTGCCATAGGATTATGCAACGTTTCGAACATGCAGGACAATGCTTCTTTCATCTTTCCACGTGTCCCCAAATGCTCCAACACATAACTTTCAAACTTTGAAAGTCCCGCTCCCATTTGAATTTTAAATGCTTTGGTGTTTCTCCGTTTCGAACGCTCTTCCCAGACACAGCCTCGCTGTTGTTTCGAGACTCCTTTAGATATGTTCCCATAATTGCTGCTCGAAGCTCCAAGCTTTGACACACTTATTCGAAACACTGCTTATGCAACTTCGAAATATGACGTTTAATTCCATTTCGATCAAAACGTTTAACTCATTTGGCTTCTAAATAACATTATCAAAATCTTCAGCCAACACCATCTCTGCTAAAAATCATAGGCGACGTCATGACGCAAATAACGGAGTACAAAATAAAAATACAGTGCGAGAAAGTGTGAGAAATTTCGGAGAAACGGACGAATTATTTATAAAACAATATTTTGCCCTAGGAGCCAAGTGAGATGGCGCCTCCTCTCACTTTTAAGGAGCATGCGCCATCTTACTTGGCTAAAAGCCAAGGGAGGCGCCAAGTGAGATGGCGCCTAGGGCAAAATCCTAGGTGGAGGCGCCAAGTGAGATGACTCCTCCTTTGTGGAATCATCTGAAACATGGTTATTTGCGTAATTTTTTCCGAAACCCGGTTATTTGCGAAATATTATTTTAATACATGGTTATTAATAAAAAAAAATCTCGAATTGTGGTATTTTCTACCAAATTCATCCTCGATTATGATTGGACCAACTTAGTGCATACCAAGGTTGTTTGAAATTTCATTATCACGAAATTCATTCAGGAGGAAAGAGACTCAACATAAAATTAAAGAAGGCCCAAATCGTGGGGCACAGAGTGTACTAGTTCACAAAATTGAAAGAAATCGTAACTAGGGTTTATCTTAGCATCTTCTAACAATAAATGATTTGTAATTCCACAAATGTTTGATACTTTGATTTGTTGATTCGAATGCATTTTCTTATCCAAGATGTTGGAGAAGATCGTTCAACTGCCTCGGGAACTGATAATGGAAATCTTGCTGAGGTTGCCGGTGAAGACTGTACTACTATGCAAATGCGTCTGTAAGTCATGGCTCTCTGTCATCTCTAATCCCGATTTTGCAACTTCACATTTTCAACTTGCCGCCACACGGCCCACTCGTAGACTTTTGTTCCTAGAAACTTATTCTCTTGAAACCCTATCCATACATCTTGATGCATCGCTTGCCAATGATTCTGCATATGCTTCGCTAAACCTTGATTTTTTGCATACTGGCTCTCTTCCTGAAGTTAGAGGTTCATGTAGAGGGTTCATTTTTTTGCACTATGATACATACTTCTACATATTGAATCCATCCACAGGTGTTCATAAACACTTACCTCGGCCTCCTGCTATTGACTCCACTGATTATTTTTCATGGCTTCTGTACGGTTTCGGATATGACTCATCAACCAATCATTACTTAGTAGTTTTGGGGTCCCGTGATCAGGCATCTGATTCCATTAACTTGGAATTTTTCTCATTGAGAGCTAATAAGTGGAAACAAGTTGAGGGTGGTTTTCGTTTTCCTCATAGGATTACTGTTGAGAGAGCCGGGTTGCTTTTGAATGAGGCTATTCATTGGTTGGTTTATAATTATGAGACCAGAAGGGATGTTATTCTCGCCTTTGATGTAAAGGAAATGAGAATGTCAGAGATAGCTCTGCCAGATTATTTTGTTGTTGATTATACCTCTTTTATAGAAGATGATTTTTTGGTACTTGGAGGACTTATCTGTGCATGGCATGTTGATGTCAAGATGGAAACAGTTGAGATATGGGTTATGCAAGAATATGCACTGCACTCATCTTGGACCAAGACTCTTGTTTTTTCTATGCATCCCGCTCCATACTTTTCCCCAATATGTTTTACAAATTGTGGTGATATAATTGGAATAGATGGTAAAGGTGGGTTGATGAAGTTTAATGACAAAGGACAGCTGCTAGAGCATCGCTCTCACTCCTATGGTAAGAGTTACTTTCGAAGATCCCAAATGGGGGTATATACGGAGTCTCTGCTTTCACTCCCTGGTGGCACCGAGCAATCTCAAGAAGATGACTAGGGACAGCAAACAAGAAAATAAGATTGTGAAATATTTGCATTTACCATTTTATTTATGATATTTATATCTTGTATTTTGAAGCATGAGAAGTGATAGGCTGAATAGTGAAATGAAGACATGGATAGTTGGCGAGTTGCAAATCCTTCTCAATGTATCAAATCGCAAGGTTTGTGAATCCTTCAATTCTCAATGTTCACGAATCATAAATCCTTCTCAGCATCTTAATTGCAACTTTGCAAATGGATAGTTGGCGAGTTGCAAATCCTTCTCAGCAGCTCAAATATCAGTTCACCAATAGCATAGCTCTGCTGTTTCTTCCTTGCAGCTCCTTAGTGAAGATGAAATTCATTTACACATTCCCAATAGGTTATTTAATGTCTTTCACTCCATGCTTTGCTTTTTTTATGCAGCTTGAACGGTTGATTTTAAGTTGTTTTGAATGATTGTTTTTGGTTTGACTTTGTTTGAATAAACAGTTTTTTGTTTTGTGTATGTTTGTTTTGTTTATATTGTATTAGATGTCTAAGTGCATTTTGTGTTCTATTTATGGTTTTGTTATGTAACTTCTGTTGCTTACACATTACACATTGAGGCTTCATAAATGATTGGGATCCAAGATCATAGGCGAGGCATATATAGGAACTGTATTATAACTTTAGGCAAGGACACCTTAGCCAATTTCCATATATGTTAGAATGGGTATGTAATTTTTTTAACAACCTGTTGTTTACAATGGATTTGCAGTTCTCCAATGGCAACACAAATGACACAGTATCTTTAATTTTATGCAAGTTGCTTTTGTTTTCTATATTATATTTGCTGCTTAACTGCATTCACATTAATCCTGTTTTTTGGGGCCCTATATAGAGAAGATCCTTCAATCAGGCAGTATTAAAATCAAGGATGTTTCTTGGATTGCACTAATCATTCTAGTCAAATATGAGCCAGCCCCCGAATTGATTGGGCCGGCCTTGATGGCTTTGTTATGTAACTTCTGTTGCTTACACATTGAAGATCCTAAATGATTGGGACTTAAGACCATACATGAGGCATATATAAGAACTGTATTATAACTTTTTTGAACTTTAGGCAAGCACATCTTACCCAATTTCCATCATCAGTTTTCTTTAGTAAGTATGTCTTGAGAATAAAATCTTAATTCAACACAACCCACTCCTAAATTGAATTGAAGACGGAACATGTAATAATGTTTTTATAATTATGTTATTTTATTTTTTTTAATTGTTTTTAAATTCAAAATGATTTATGAAATTAACGGAATCAATTTTATTTGAACATTTTTTATTTATTTAAACACCTCATGTATTAAGAAAGCGGCGAAAAAACCAAACTAGTACATGAAGGAACAGAAACCAACTGAGGAATACTACCTATCCAGGTTTTGCTACCATGGATTCAACCAACACTCACCATATGATGAGCATCAGCATTGAAGTTTCTACCATTAAAACAAATAATAACATTCTTAAAGCTGTCTAACAGATGCCTACAGTCAGCCACAACCGGCTCAATATCCGCAATTATAGAAAAACCAGAAATGCAATCAAAAGATGAAGGGAGAAGATCAAAGAGAGAGCCCATTTAATAGCCAAAGCCTCCGCCATGCACGGAGAAACCTGTAACTGCTCCCGCCTGCTAGCAGCCACATAAATGCCCTCAATATCATCTTTTATCACACATTCCGTCGCAACCACCCCTTCATCAAAGCAACCAGCATCCACCTGAACCAATATCAAACCAGCACCTGGATTTTGCACCTGATTACCAGCCAAACCGTTGCACTTTAACGTGACTTCAGGGTTTGCAGAGTTAAAATACCTAACCACTTCAGCCGCTTCAAAAGCTGGATCAGACTGCTTGTTGTTGAACACACAAATATTCCTAGCATGCCAGATTTTCCAAAGTGAGGAGCATTGAAGTTGGATAATCTGCATTTCCTTACCATTAATAATTTCAGACAACCAATCGATGATGTCAAGGTGATGCGGAAGTCTGAAACCCAAAGGCGGGGAAAAATAGACTCTTCTAGCGAAATCGCACTCAAGGAAAAGGTGTCACGTATCTTCAACACAAGAATGACATAAGGGGCCGTCACACAAAGGAGGATGTTCTTTGCGAGCCGTCACACAAAGTTACGCACTTTGGCTGATAACGGAAGCTTCCATAGCTTTTTCCAGAAAATGCCTAATATGTCTTCAGAGGGTCCAACTTTGTTAGACCTCCTCTCACTCCCCAGGACATGATATGCATTCTTGACAGAATAATTATCATCCGCTTCAAAGTGCCAGATTATTTTATCTTCAGGAGTTCTTCTAGATAAAGGGATACTAACAATCTTTTCAACATCCTGAGGATCAAATAAAATACCCAGCAGCTAAGATCCTGGTCAATTAAGGCAGAAACTTTGAGGCCTGCCTTCGCATTCTCACGACGAATGAGAGGTTTGAAACCTGGACCAGAAGGGATCCAGTTATCCTCCCAAACTTTCACCTTAGTACCATCTCCTATCTGCCATCTGAAACCTTTTGTCACCAAGTCCTTTGCACTGAAAATACTTCTCCACGCGTAACTTGGGGAGAAACCCAGTTTGACATTCACCACATCACTCCTTGGGAAATACTTTCCTTTGAGAAGTTTCACGAAAAGAGAGTCCCCTCCCTGCATCAATCTCCAGCACTGCTTCCCCAAAAGACTCAAATTAAAGTAACTTATACCACGGAATCCCATACCCCGAAAACTTTTCACCACTGACAGTCTATCCCAACTCATCCAATGAACTTTCCTGGTATCGCTGTTGGATCCCCACCAGAACTTTGTCATCATTGATTTAATCTCATTGCAAATTCCTTCTGGTAATTTGAAACAACTCATAACATTCGTAGGAATAACTTGAACCACCGCTTTGATCAGAACTTCTTTTTCCGCTCTAAAGAGGAATTTTTCCTTCCATCCTTTTAATTTCTTCCAAACATGCTCCACTACAAGAGAAAACACTTCTTTCTTGGATCTTCCGAAGACAACCGGAAGACCCATATATTTAGAATGACTATCCACACCTTGGAACCCCAATCTGTTGCAGATCAAACTTCTCACCTCCTGACTAACATTCCTACTAAACGACACTTCGGATTTATGAAAGTTGACAACCTGACCCGAGACTTGCTGATACTTCTGGAGAAGCAAAAATTCATACTTTTTGAGATGTTAATACAATATTAATTTAATTTAACATTAATTTTTGTTGAGACTGTTAATTTTTTTTTAAAAGTTAGTTTTGCTTTAAATAGAGTAAAATATAAGATTTTTTTTCTAGTTTTATACTTTTTGAGCCATGACAATTACTCCCTCCATCTTTTGTAAACAAATTTTAACTTTTAGGAGGACACTATAACAATAATCAATGATAAGATTAATAAAATTAACCGTTAATAAACAGGAATGTTTGGTCATCTCAAGTAAATGTTTACATAGAAAGCTTGGTTGCCGTTGATTGAAAGCAAGTTTCTCACATCCACCAAACTTCCTAAAGCGACTTCATCTTTCCTGGCGTTAATTCCTAAAATTAATATCCCTCAGAAAATAGAAGAATACAGACCTATTTGTCTCAGACTGTATGTACAAAGTTGTATAAAATTTGTTGGCTTCAAGACTTAGGAGAGTGATAGGGAAATTGATCTCTAGCAACCAAACAACATTGATTCTGGGAAGACAGATGTCAAATGAAATCATAGACTTTGCTAAGAGAGAGAACAAAGAGTGCTCATTATTTAAAGTTGATTTTGCTCAAGCTTATGACCTTGACGATTGGAATTTCTTGAGGTACATGTTGAGAAATATGAGTTTTGGTGAAAGATGGATGTTAGGGGTTATTAAATCTAAACCAATTTAATTAAAAATCGCAAACTGATAAAAAAAAATTAAAACTACAAAAAATTGAAATTTATTAGATATGTTTGCATGTCATTTTGTGAAAACTACTCGGTTTAGATCGGATTTCAGATTTATTATTCAAAACCGATTCAAACCAAAACGAACCGCATGTATATATTTTTATACTTATTTATTTTTTTATTAGTATTGATATGTTACGTAAATTTATTATTAGATGATAATTATATTTTGAATAATACTTATTAGTTTGGTGTAATCTACTTTTTTTTTTTATTATTGCAACTATAATCGGTCACTCTCATATATTATATCAAATCTATGATTTATTAATATTTTTATAATATTAATAAAGAATATAATTTGTAATTCAGATATCTAAAAGTCGTCCAAATTAAATTACATTAAATTGTATGTATAAGATTTTTTTAATACCTTTTAAATTTCTGGACATAACTGTGGGTGGAAATCCAAGAAGATGTGAGTTCTGGAAACCTAATTTCAATGTTGAAAGCTAAATTGTCATCTTAGAAGGGCAAATTGCTCTCAATAGGTGGTATGATCACTGATCTAACCTGATCAGACTTGGACCGTCACGGCTGGCTCCGAGCTGGAAGTTTTGAACGAGGTGGGGGGGGGGGGGGGTACCTGCAAGACACTCCGATGCTGAAGTAAGTAAGAGCACGAGCAGGCAATAGTAAGTATGGGTAGAATGATGAATACCTGACCCTCTGGAAACATAGGGTATTTATAGCCCCCAGCGCTGGGCCAAGGTTCCTTCATTGGGCCGGGCAGGTTTGGCCCAATGGAGGAACTGCCAGGTTCTACGTGCGTAGTGGGGACCCGCACGTGGTCCCATCCCTGGATGTTCTGCGTGAAGTGCGGGCGGACAAAGACGCAGTTTTTTCGGGGTCTCGTTGGGAGTGCAGTGGACTGAGTCTGCCCTAGTCGGGGTGCTCGAGGTGATGTCGAGCTGGACAGCAGGTTGTCGAGCTGTACAGTTGGATATCGAGCAAGTAACCTCAGGGAGCACGTCGGGCACGACTGTGACCCTTTGGTCGACGTGGCCCTCAGCAAGTCCGTTTGGATTG